CAGGCTGCTGCTACCCAGGTGAGAATTTCCTTTCCTGCCTGGCTGCCAACACTTACATCCTAAATAAAATATATATTTACATCATCAGTACTTAGTAATACACAGAATAAAAGAGTTGTGCACACACACTTGCAAAACAACATCATTTTACACATGAAGTGTTAAAGCATACAAGTCAATTCAACAAGTTCAAAACTGCCTGTACAGCAAAATACACCACATAGTGCATCATATACACTTATACCTAAGTGGACACATGTATCTAAGCTTTGGATACCAACCAGTATAGTTTTTACAGACGTTTGTGGAAGCTTCTACAGTCTCCAGAAACAAAAATGCACAACAGAATATAGAGTGCAATGATGAATCAACAATAACAAAGTCAAAAACTTAAAGAGAACCAACCAAGCCATCAACACAGAAGCCTTGGGAACTAGGCATAACTAAATTATGCTGAAGATACTTGCTCTGTTTGGCTGTATATGTTCAATCTACACACACACGTTGTCCAGTTGGTTGTGAAGTCTTCAGAATGCCTCTGAAGATTAAGTCATTATTTGACAGCATGCAGCAACTTGGGGCTGTCTGCCATTCTGCCTCCATTAAAACTGAGTTAGTGGCTGTTGCAATAAGAAACAGCATTCCTTCCTTTATGCTATAATGATTCTCAATGTGGTGAAATGTCAATGGCATAAAAACTGGGTTGATCCAGGAAACTCGAACTGTCTCAAGGAAGACTAGAAGCAATGGAATAGGAATAGTGAAACAATAGAAACTTGAACTAGTTTAATTGGTATTCTACTTTCAGAGACGATTATTCATCCTCAAGACCAAAAAAACATACCAATCCTACCAATTTATTCATTAGGAAAGCTGGGGGCTTGGTCCTTAACCTGAGCATTAGGTGACCATGACAGAGAAGATCTCAAATAGCAATATTTGGCAGAGACATAACCTACAGGTTAAGAGAGACCCACAAGTTCTCCTAGGAGATGAACAGGGAAAGTCCTGCAGTTTATCAGTAGTGGGCAAAGTCTGCTTGATAGGTGACAACCAGCACACCTTGAATTATACCCGGAAGCTGATAGATAACCAGTGCAGCTTGTGAAGCAGCAATGACACATTGGCATAACAAGAAGCACTCATTAAGGCCTGCCCCACTGTTCTTTGAACCAGATATAACCTCTGGATGGTCTTCAAGAGCAGCCCCACGTAGAGCACATTGCAACAGTCTAGTTGTGAGTGACTAGGATTTGACTGACTGATACCCATCTTTATCAGTGAGGAAATCCCTCCTCCTCACTGGTTCATACAAAGGTTGTGTGAGAGAATCAGAAAGACTCCATCCTAATGTACATGAAGTTATATCGGTTCTGGACTGAAAATAGTTTTAATAGAAGAGAATATATGAAAAAAGTTGACCTGCTAAAATTCTTGCATCCATACTATTTGTTTTCAGTGTTTACTCTCAACATTCTGACAATTGCTCAGCATCAAATAAATGATTCGAAGGCAGTTTTATGCTTTTAATGCAAAGCAAACTATCCTAGGAGGGATTTTGGAAACTAAATTTTTGTAGCAATGGGGAAACCTAAT